GACCAGGCTGGCCTGGAACTCATAGAGATCCATCTGCCACTGCCTCTAGAATGCTGGGATTGATAATCATTTCTCTTTAAAGTCATATTGGAAGTTCTTGCCATTACAAAGTGACAATAAAAGAAATTAAAGGCATGTAGATTGGAAATGAAAATTAAAGTTGTCATTATTTGGAAATGACAGGTTATTGTATGTAGAAATAGTAACAAATTAATTTTTTTATTAGAACTAATGACTAAGTTTGCAATATAGTAGGATGTAAGATCAGTATATACTGACAAACTGTATTTCTATATACTGGCAACAACTTGAAAATACATGAAGAAAACAATTCTACTCAATGACATAAAAATATTTAGAAATAAATTTAATAAGTGATGTGCAAGACTTATACACTAAAATTATAAAACATCACAGAGAGAAATCAAAGATCCAAAATAGAATGAGACAAGTGCTCAGGTTCGTGAATGGAAAACTCATCAAGATGTCACTTTTCTATAAATCCGCCTATGGATTAAATACAACAGACATTTTGTTTTTGTTTTTGAGACAAGGTCTCCCTCTGTAGCCTAGACTGGCCTGGGACTCACTCTGTAGCCCAGGCTGGCCTCAAACTGTGGTAATCCTCCTGCTTCAGCTGTTCATAGGCATGAGCCATTATGTCTGGCTTCCAACAGGCTTTTTAAAAAGTAGAAATTGGGGGCTGGAGAGATAGCTCAGTGGTTAAGGGCACTGGCTGCTCTTGTAGAGGACCTGGGTTTGAGTCCGAACACCCATATGGTGGCTAACAACTGTCTGTAACTCCAGTTCCAGGGGATCTGACCTTCTCCTCCTCCTCCTCTTCTTCCTCCTCCTCCTCTTCTTTTTTTGGAGGGGTCTTTTTGAGACAGGGTCTCCCTGTAGCCACATCTAGCCTGGATTAGCTATGGAGACCAGGCTGGCCTCGAACTTACAGAGATCTGCCTATCTCTGCCTTCCAAGTTCTGGGACTAAAGGTGTGCACCACCACACCCGGCTCTGACCCTCTCTTCTGACCTAGGTGGGTGTTGCATGACATGGGTGCACTTACATACATGCAGGCAATACAGTATATACAGAAAATAAAAAATAATAAAAAATTGAAATTGATCAGATGGTTCTAAAATTTATATGAAAATTCTTAGGACTCTGAATAGCCATCCAAAATAACTTTCTAAAATACAAAAATGAGAGACTTATATCATGACTTCAAATTTTAGTAAAGTTATGATTGATTTTAATAAAGCTATAATAAATCATGAGTGAATATTGATAAAAAATAGACTTACATATTAGTGGAACCTAGTAGTGAGTCAAGAACTATGCCCTTTTATTTATGCTTGTTTTAGTCCACCTTGTGATGCTATAACAGCACACCTGAGACTGAGTAATTTATAATGAATAGGAGTGTACTGACTCACAGTTCTCGAGTCTGGGAAATCCAATATCAAGACACCAACATTTTCTTGCTATGTCAAACTCATGATGGGAGGAGAGAAAGTAAAGGGGGCTGAACTCATACATTTATTATAACTGCACCGACTGTACCTGTGAGTGTGGGGCACTCATGGACCAATTACCTCTTAAAGGTCCCATAGCCAAAGGTAACTAAAGTTCAACGTAAGTTTTGGAGATGAACATTCAAAGCACAGTGTTTTTGAACTGTCTTTTGATAACTCTGCAAAGCAATTCAATAAGGATAGAATAGTTTTCAGTGAATGATGTTGGGACAATTGGATATCCACATGAAAAAGACTAACAAGGAGGCCATGGGAGTCATGAACCTCATAAGGGAATGGTTAGCACACCTTTACTCTCAGCACTTGGGACAGTTTGAGGCTAGCCTGGTTTGATATTGCAAGACCTTGTTTCAAACACTGGCAATAAATCAATAAATAATAAGTCCAACAAGCAAAGCCAAAAACATAAAAATTGGAAAACCAAGACCAAAGAAATGACAAAATTCTAGAATATAAAGCTTGGTGAAGGCAGTCGGACGCCCCCTCCACACACGTATATTGTATAACTCTACATAGAAAAAAAATTCTAGAAAAGATAACTATGCCACAGAGAAGGATACAACATCTGCTTTGTGTTATTTTTGATAGAAATGCAAAAGCTGAATCTAATTATGAAGAAACAGCAAAACCATAATGGATGGGCTCCTATTAAACAACTGGGTTTCATTCTTTAAAAAAAATGTCAAGGTTGGACTGGAGAGATGGCTCAGCAGTTAAGAGCACTGGCTGCTCTTAGAGAGGACAAGGTTTGATTCCCAGCACCCACATAGCAGTTAACAACTGTCTGTAACTCCAGTTCTAGGGTATTTGACACCCGCTTTTGACCTCCATGGGCATTGCACAACATGGGTGCACTTACATATATATAGTAAATATACTCATACACATAAAATAAAAATAATAAAATATTTTTTAAAAATGTCAAGGTTCACCAGGCATGGTGGTGCACACCTTTAATCCCAGCACTCGGGAGCAGAGGCAGGTAGATCTCTCTGAGTTTGAGGCCAGCCTGGTCTCCATAGCGAATCCAGGCCAGCTAGGGGTACAGGGAGACCCTGTCTCAAAAAGACCAAAAAAAAAAAAAAAAAAGTTAAGGTTGAAGCTAGAGAGATGACTCAGCAGTTAAGAGCACGTACTGATTTTGCAGAAGACCCAAGTTTGATTCTCAGCACCCATGTCTGGCAGCTCACAGCCTCCTGTAACTCCAGCTCTAGAGGATCTGATGCCCTCTTCTGGCCCCTGCAACCACCTGCACTAATATGCACATACCCACACATAGTCACATAATTAAAAATAAAGAAATCTGGATGTGATGGCACATGCCTTTAATCACAGCACTCAGGGATTGGGGAGATGGCTCAGTAGTTAAGAACATTTGTTTATGGTTTAATTCCTGGTACCCACAAGGCAGCTCACAACTGTCTTTAACTCCAGTTCCAGGGGATCTGATACCCTCTTCTGGCCTCTTCAGGCACCAAGCTCACATATGGTGTACATATATACATGCAGGCAAAATACTCATACACATGCAAAAAAACCCATAGCACTCAGGAGGCAGAAGCAAGTGGATCTCTGTGAGTTTCAGGCCAGCCAGAGGTACAGAGCAACACAGTGGGACCCTGTCTCAATAAATAAATAAATAAACAAACAAACAAACAAATAAATAAATAAAAAATCAAGTTCATGAAAAAGATCAAAGCACTGCTCCAGATTCAAGGAGACTAAAAATGAAATGCAGTGTGAGATCCTGAATTCAACTCTGGATTAGAAAACAAGAATTGTAGGAGTATTTAATACTGGGATAATTGAAAAGTCTAAATAGTGTATGTGGATTTAATGTTAAACATCTTGATTTTGGTAATTTGTACTGTGGCTATGTTAAAAAAAATGATGGCCGTTGAGAGGCTCAGAGGATTTGTAAAGGTGTTGGTGATGTAAGCCTGGCAACCTGAGGTCAATCCCTGGAACCCAGGGAAGGGTAGAAGGAGAGAAGTGACTCCACAGAGTTGTCCTCTGACTTCCACATATGCACCAGGGCATGCACAAGCACAAGCACATGCATGTGAACACACATACACATTCCTACAATTTAAAAAAAATTAGCGTTTTTTAGTCTCTAAGGCCACAGAATAAAGTTGAAACTCAGTAGTTTGATATTTAGAGTCCCTTCTACCCTCACCTCAATTTACCTTTCCCGATTTGTCTCTCAGATTCCTCCCCAAACACTTTCAGGCCCCCAAGGTGTCTGCTTCTGTCACGATCTGGAATGTCTGACCCTGAAATCCTCTTCATTTTTCACAGTTCAACTCAAATGTCCCAAACCCCCAAGGGCAGGCTCTTTCTCTGCCCACATGAAGCTTTAACAGCATCTCCCTAGCCCTTCTTGTGACTCAGGACTTTTACTGCCTTCCACTCTCTGGCACATCCTAGTCTTCTCTTAAGTTTCACCATAGTTTCATTTTATTTACTTTTTTTTTTTAAAGGAAAAGCAAAAGCACGAAGTACACATTATTATTAGTATAGCATTCAGGCCAGATTAAATGATGATATAACTATTGGCAGGGAATAAATGCAACTGGTTGCAAATATTTTTTCCTAGTTTTCAGTGACTTTCAACTTGAAGCTGTATACCTTTTCTCTACAGGGTTTCCTAACTTCAGAATTTATAAAATATTTGACTTCCAAGTTAATGAAGTTTTCTGTTCAAAGATAAACACAGGAACAGGCTTGGATCCACAGGCAGACAGGTACACAAGACAAATGATACTTAGCTGGATTATTAAATTCTTTAGAATTTTTCTAGTGAATTTCTTCACTCAAGGATTTTCAAAAATAATATACATAGAAAAACACTCGGAAGTGGGTTATTTTCATGACTGCGGTATGAATCAAGTCTTGAGGGCCTAAGAATGTGTGAGGTAGACAGAAGGAAAACAAAGACAGTGAGGGGAAGTGGGTAGAAGCAAAAACAACAAAAAGACTGGAAAAAATAATTTCCTAATCTAAGAGGCTGTAGGAAACTAAAACCAATGGCATTAGGCACAATGAAGGGCCCAGGCCAGGCCATTTAGGGACTCTTCCAGTTTTCAATGAAATCAAACAGGCATTATGTTTAATAAACTTGATCAAGAAAACGGACTACTGAATCATTTTGATCTCACAGACACAATACTGAATTTCCACATTTCAAAAGAACACACTCCTATGTATAAACGTGCCTTAGTGACAAGGCAGTGTTATAAGTTAAACCCCCCTTAGAAAACTAGCTCACCACATAACTCACCTAATCTACACAACACATTTTTGCTAAAGTCCACATTTCACGGGTGCACATAAGCGATCTGAGGTTGGCAAAGCCCCACTTTATACATAGGCAGCGCCTAGACGGTCAGGTGCGTCCCCGTTCCCCCCGCGGTCCACGTGACCTCCCGCGGCCCCTCTCCCGCCGGGTCCATCACTTACGACGCGGGGACGGATGCGGGCGAGCGTGACGCACTGTGTAGCCGCGGGAGAGTAGGGGCCCGGCGGGTCCAGCAGCCGCTGCGCAAACTCCCCAGCGAGCCAGCCGCGGCGTCGCCCGGGGCAACCGGGACGCTCAGGTCACACCAGGGCCCGCGGCTCCCTGACCTCTCCCAGTCGGGAGCCGTGGTACGTCGGGGTGTCGCGTCGTCCCCGCCCACAGCGACCAGGGGACTGAGCCCAGGGCACGTGGCCATCAAGGGCAGGCCTTCAGTTTGCAAGCCCTGAGCTCAAGACCGTCACTTCGCTCCTGCCTGGCTGTCGCCCCTGCCGTTGGCTTTATGGAGACAAGTTCAGAGACATCCGCTGTGGCTCACTGATGCCATTTTATAAACCAACAACCACCGTCCAGCGTCTGGGGCGGATTCAGAGTAGGACAGGCTTACCACCGTGGAGAAGAAAGCCAAGCAAACAACGTCACTGAATGCTGTATGGAGACAGACGAATTAACCCCAGGAAGGAGAGTTTTTATCTAATTTGTTCACAGAATGTCAACGAACACACACCCCCTTTCAACATCAGCAAAATGCTCTTCAAGGTTTGATTTAGGACGTCCAAACTTCTTCCATACAGATCTCTCTCTCTTCTCTCTCTCTCTCTCTCTCTCCCCCCCCTCTCCCTCCCTCCCTCCCTCTCTTTCCTCAGGCATATGCTCAAATATTGTATTTTAAGGAAACAAAATCAATGATCTCTCCTCTCTTTCAAGACCAGACATTTCCACCGAACCTGGTTTCTCCTAGCTACTTATTTATAAGGCAGTTCTTCACAATGGCCCTTTCCTCCAGCCTCCTGTTCCTCTGCTCCATGCACTCTACGTTGCACCACAACGAATGCCACTGTTCTGTGAACAATGCAGTATTTCTGCTTATTCTCTGCTACAACCCACACACCATAAATTTCTTTTCCTTCACCAACAATCTGCTCTATGTCCGGCTGCATAAAGGCCTTCCTTTTCCCAAACAGGCCGTCCTTGTACTTTTTTTCGTGTTTAAATTATGTTTTGAAACAGGGTCTTGCTCTATAGCTGGCCTTGACCTTCTGATCCCCCTCCACCGGCCTCTAGAGCTGAGATTACAGGCATGCTCAATGGCACCCAGCCTGTACCTCTTTTTAGTGCAGCAATTTACTTTTTGTTCTCCCAGCTGCTCTCATTGGACGAATGCTAGCTAGAAATCATGTCTTTTCTCCAGTGCCTGGAAAATGACCTGGATACACTGTAAATAACCAATATATGTTAAGTAATTGTGTCAAAAAAGTATTTGCTCTGAGCGTTTTGACTAGATTTATCTAAAAGCATCAACTGTCAAGGTAATTGTATGAAACTTTTATTTTTAATTCCGAGTACTTTGAATGGGGCTGGAGAGATGGCTCAGTTGTTAAGAGCACTGAGTGCTCTTGCAGAGGACCTGGGTTTAGTTCCCAGCACCAACATGGCAGGTAACAACCATCTATAACCCCAATCCAGGGGATCCAACATCCTTTTCTGGCATTTGCAGGCATTGCATGCCTGTGATACACAAATATATATGCAGGCAAAAAAACTCATACACCTAAAAAATAAAGCTAAACACTTTGAGTAAGAAAATGCTTTTTGGTAAGCAAAAAATTAAAAAAGGAAGCCAGCTTCTCATCACAGAGACAGTGAGAAATTTGCAATTCAATTTCTGGAGAAAAAAGTTTCAGCAGGAAACACGTTGGAGTACACTTCTGTGGGCAGTGGGCAGGGGCTGCCTGTTTTCTATGTAATAGTCCAGCATAGTTACATCTACTTTGAATCAGGTACATGGGTCCAGGTCTCAGCTCTACCACTACCGTTACAGACCCGGGCAAGTTCTACGCCTCAGTTTCTTCATGTGTAAAATGAAGCTAAAAGTGCCTACTGTGTTTACCCACTACTCTTTGCTTCTGTACTAGTAATGGAAAAAAATGCTAAAAACCTTTATTTTATGGTCTCTACCAAAATTAGACATACTTATGACCTGAATGATGCCATCAGGCCCATAAACAATTATCTTTCTCAATTTCTCTCAGAATTACACAATTAGCTAACAAGATAGGCAGTCTGAACATCAATGAAAACAAAAATAAATTTTTTCTAACAGTTACAGGAATGGATCTCTTCTATTTGAGCTGTAAGCAAAAGCTCCCAGGACCCTAGGAATTTGCATAGGAAAACTGTCATTATTGATAATACTCTGAAGCCAGGGCTCTTCCAATCACATTTGAAATGTTGATTTAATCTACACCACTGGATTTTACTCTGTGGCACATCAGAGTAATTGGTACTTTGTAAAAATAAAGGTAATTGGGTCTTACTCCCCCAAATTACAAGGATATTTTTAAAAAGCTCATGGTTGGTAATCACTTAATTGTATGCTTTTGTTTTGAAAATATTTTAAAAAATTTTTATTTTTTATGTGTATGCATGTATTGCCTGCATGTAGGTAAGTACACCTGTGTCCTGCAATGCCCATGGAGGTCAGAAGAGGCTGTCTGATCCCCTGGAACTGGAGTTATGGACAGCTGTGGGCGCTGGGATTTGAACCTGAGTCTTCTGCAAGAACAACCAGTGTTCTTAACCGCTGAGCCATCTCTCCAGCCCCATTTTGAAAATATTTTTAAGTGCTTGACAGCCTAATGTGTGATGAGCGTTTCTGAGATGTAACTTGCAGGTCTTGGAAAGTGGAATAAACAGCTGAGGACAAGGCTCAACCACCTTGGTAACAACACATGCCAAGAGCAGAATCTTGATTTCTTGAAAAGCTTTCCTATGAGATCCTCAGCTAATTAATGATGTCATAAAGATATATATTTTAAAACACTGTCATTAGTTGTTAATAGTGATTCTGCATGGCATGTTTGGGAAAAGCAATCAATATTTACAGTTGATCCTGAAGTAGATGACCCCAGGTCACCCTGACAGGTTGTGGAATCGATAGAAATGACATCTCTTGACCAGCAGGTCAAGTTCTTTCCACTTAATCTTTCTGTTCCTTTCTAGGACTGCATTCCTTAATATATTTCTTTCCCGTCTTTAACTCAGGCCATCCCAAATTACTTTCTGCAAAGGGTCAGAGAGTAGATATTTAGGTTTTTCAGGCCAGACTGACTGTTCCTTTGAAACCACTCAAGTCTTACACTGAAGTATGAATGCAGTCACAGACAACAGGCCAATACATAGGTGGTGCTGTGTTCTAATAAAACTTTATTGACAAAAACAAGGGGGCTAGATTTGGCTAAGCTTTAAGTTGTCAACCCCTGCTCTAACCAAAACACTATGAATGTTAGAAGTTGAAGATTCTATAGATGTCCCCTTTTTTAAAAAAAATATTTTTATTTTATGTGTATGAGTGTATTGCCTGCATGTATGTGAGTGTATCTGTGTCATGCAGTGCCACAGAGGTCAGAAGAGGGCTTCGGATTCTCCTGGAACTGGAGTTAAGGATGGTTCGTAGCTGCCACGTGGGTGCTGGGAATCTAACCCGGGTCCTCTGAAAGAGCAGTCAGTGCTCTTAACTGCTGAGCCATCTCTCCAGCCCCATAAGATGCCCCTTTCTTAAATGTGGGAATATTACTGCTTCATAAAAACTGAAAATCACAGATCAAATAGTCATGATTTGGGGGACCAGAATTGGATACAGAAGGATTTAGTGCAAAAGTGTTCCCCCTTTAATATATTTTAATGCTGTTAAGTCAGACAACAAGCTACTACACAACAGCATGTTAAAAAACATGTTTATTTTACACTATGTACAATCAGGAACATATTTAAAACCATTATCAATTAAAATAAATGAAGAGCATAAATCACAATTTAGTTTGTTCTTAGTGTATACATACATCAAAATATAAAGAACATATACCAAAAGAGCCAGAGGTGTAAGCTCTGCTACAACCTCATATATACCTATATTTATATATAGATATATCTAGTCCACTGGAAAAAACCAATCAAAAAGGATTTTAACCAAACTAAGTTCCCGTGATGTGTGTAGTAACCATTACAATGTTTGTATGAGGTAGTAACTAAATTATTTTGGCCATGTGTTAATGCTCTACATTAAAAGAAATATGAAAGTGATCATAAAATAAGGTCAACAAAAGTAAAAATTCCACTAGAAATTTGAATCACTTCACTCTGGAATGTTACAGTTCTTCAGTGTGATTATGTGAAATGTCTAGTGTGACTCTAACAATGCTAGTGTATTCTTTGTGCACACTGTAACCCAGACAACTGCAGCGTTTTATCACGGTAAGACCACTCTGTGATTTCAGTTTTTTTCCAAAGGTGTATTCTAAGCACAGACAAGCAAGCTTACAGGATTTTGCTTAAATATAAAAAGGTCAGATACTACAACAGGTGGTAAATTGGTTTGTCTCACATAGAAAACAATCCAAATACATTTTAAAAAGATGTTGTGGAGCCAAATGCATATTCACAATGTCACAGCTTACTTTGTGACTTAATACATCACATATCAATACTCTGTGCAAATATAAACACCAGTGTACTTGCATTAAAATTAAAAACAAGATTATAAAATGATTACAGCTTCCATTACAATTTTAAAAGTTACAAGATTTATATTCATATTACTAAATTATATATAATAAAAATACAATAGTGTTAAATGTCTTGTTTCATTGCCAGCATCCCATTTTGTAATATAACCACACCCAAGAATATACTAAAGAATTCTTAAAATATTAACCCCAGTTGCATTTTAATCAACATTTACATCTGTACAGATAAGACACTTACTTTTACATCTCATAAAAGTACATTATCTACATCGATTCTTAGTGTATGCCTTCAGCAATATGAAGTTTCACAGAAAAATACTGCTTATATGTACAAAGATTACAGAACAATGAATTAAGCACTTGTGTGGTTCAATATGCTAAATATATCCATACTACTTAAAACAGAAATTCCCCCCATCTTGTCTCATGCCACAATAAATTACAAGGAGCGAAAGCGGCTATCACAGCTCTGCACAGCTCTGCACGGCTGGAGCATCCATCCAGTAAGGCTGAAGCCACGTGTCTTCTCTGCAGGTGCCTGCCATGCATGCCACATCTCAGTAACTGTTTTCATGACCCGCCAAGATGTATAAATTGCTATTTGCTGTTGGGTTATCAGTTGGCCTACTTTCCAAAACCACGACCCTAAAAGCAATAAACATACAACAAAAAAGTTGTTCTTGAAAACTAACACTGGCAGGGAAAAAAAAAAAAATCCCACTCCACCTCCATTAGGGGCCTCTGTAAATGCTCCCCATCTGACTTATGGGCAGAAACCATTTGCAGTCACTGTGATTAAAGGGCCCGTTTTGGCTCTGGGAAGGCGCCCACCACCTCCTACCTCTAGACCAGGGTTCTAAAAGGAGTGAAGGGCAAAGGGGTAAGGAGAAAGCGATTACACAGAATAATTTGGGGACTTAGTTCTCAAGATTAAGGTGCTCAATTTTATCAAGATGGTAAGTCAGAATACAAGTCTAAATCTTATCTGGCATGACAAAAAGAAAGTTCCATTTGTTAACATGGTATTTCCTTTCTGCTGCTGTAAATCACTTTAGATAGTATGTTTAATGCAAAATAGTACCAACAGACCTAGAAATTCTTGCTACTTATCAAGTTAGATTTTTAAATTTTATGTGTATGTGTGTATTGCCTGCATGTAGGTAAGTGCACCCGTGTTGTGCAATGCAGGTGGAGGACAGAAGAGGCTGGCAGAGGACAGAAGAGGCTGTCGGGGCCCCTGGGGCTGGAGTTACGGACAGTTGTTAGCTGCCATGTGGGTGCTGGGATTCGAACCCAGGTCTTCTGCAAGAACAGTCAGTGTGCTTAACTGCTGAGCCATCTCTCCAGCTCCCCAGGTTAGATTTTTTTGATAGTTTAAAAAAAGTGTTGACCATGTTGCCAAAATTTTAATTCTCTTGAAAAAGCAACCAGTTTCATGCTGGGTTCAGAAAACATATTTAGTACTATACATTAATAAAACCCATCTTCATACCTGTCAGATCCAAGGAGCCTGAAAATTCTTGTGCTATCTGAAATTTCTTGTGTTACCTGTTCAAATAAAACATAAAAATTTTAATTCTCCAAATTAAAGATACACAGTCTTATTTTTATTTATTCTTTTCTTCTTTTGAGATAGGGTCTTGCTATGTAGCCCAGGATGCATCTGAGTCTCTTGAGTACTGAAATTACAAATATGTGTGTGTCATCATATTTGACTCCAAAGACACAAAATCTTATATGGATATTTCATTGTAATGTTACAGAGAACACTCTGCCCACCCCCTTAATTGTAGGATGGAAAAACACCCCTGTATGACTATATATTGTCAGCTTGTAATCATGTTAATTTGTTGGCCTAGGAAAAATGTAGTTAAATTGGAATTAATCATAAAATACAGGTGAGGGAAAAGTACTTGGCTAGATTACAGACTTCCAGAGAAAATTTTAGAGGAAAGCATGAATTCTTTTTATTCATCCGAAGTGTCCTGCCAGTTGTTCTAAGGTGAATGGAAGGCCGCCGGCAGCATTCAGCCACTCAGATTTGGTTTCTGTCCTTGACAAGCTGCTGTGTGGTATAACAGGAAATCCTTAGAAGCCAGACTTGGGTTTGCATGTTAGCTCTCCCACTTACTAGCTGGAATGTCAGGCAACATACACAGTCTGCTGGAAACGTTTTTCCAAACTGGACAGGAAAGAGCTACCTCCCAGCATTCCTGGAAGTTGGGAATGCCTGGGAAGAAGGCAGTACACGACAAACTTCCATTTCTTCCCTATTTCTTCAAAGAATGTTTTCTGATAAAATATATCCTTCAGGGAGTCCTCGGTGTGACCAATTACCATTTGGGGAATAAAGATTAAGACTACAAAGTAAAGATAAACTCCATGTTCATAGCTTATCCAACACAAAATATTCCAAATTAAGCTGCCAGTAACAAGCCCCTCAAAACTGTAGGCTAAAAAAACCCCCGACGTTCACACTAAATTTATTCTTCTCAAATCCCTACAATTAGTTATTCGGGAAATGAGCATTTCCTCACTTCTGGTGTGACGCAGTACCGTGAAGGAAGCATGCTCGCTTCAGCAGCAGCCCTCTGGCCCTGGCTCCAGGGGATGCTGGTTTGTTGACTAGAAGGCACAGCATTGATAAAGGTGCTGCACTGACTGGCTACCTGGCTCATATAAAAGACCCTGGGGAACTTTCTGGACAAACTTCTTTTTTTCCTTTCTCCTCTGTGGTGGTTGAATGAGAAACATCGCCCATAGGTTCATGTATTTGAACACTTTGATCCCCTGTTGGTGGCACTGTTTGGGGAGGTTGAGGGCTTTGAGAGCTCAGAGCCTTGCCCCACTTCACGTTCACTCTCTCTGCTTCCTTGTGAGCTCTCAGCTTTCAGCCCTGGCTGCCTCCTGCCCCGCCTCCTCATCATGATGGACCCTTATCCCTTTGGAACGGTAAGCCCAAATAAACTCTTCCTTTTATAAGTGGCCTTGACTATGGTGAAAAGTAACTGATGTACCCTCCTACCCCTGAACTCTTTCTACTCCAACCTGCTCAGGTGATACTGAGACTGGCTTGTGGGTCTGGAGAAATTTTTGATGATCTTACTTCCCTATATTTTAGGGGGCAACCACCATATCTTGTTCATGCCTATAACCCTGGTATTTCCAGTATAAATGTTGAACTGAATTAAGTATGTTACATGGCTGAGTTAAATTATTTCAGTAAGGTAGGAAGGATTCATAAAGAGGGACAGTCTTAAATAGCAAGTGAGTAAGGATATCAGAAACAAGAGGCAAGCTGGTTTCTGGCTGCCTGCAGTGGCCACAGTGGCTGAAATACATGGTGCCTTAGGGAAGAGCATAGCATCAAGTGCCAGGCCATGGTCTGGGGAAGTTGAAAGAAACCAGTTGATTCATTTCTCAAAGCAGTGTCAGGAAGCTGTTCTTGCTTTGAGTTTTGGGGTGACTGTGTGGAAACACATGAAGTATGGAACGAAGTTGTTTGGCTAACAGAGAGGAAAGGAGGCTTTCCCTCCTTTAAAGCACGTGCTGCTGACCTTATCACTAGACTGAACACAGCAGCAGAATAGAGCTCCTTCTGTCATCACCAAAGAACTTTACAATAAAGAGATCTGTTAGAAGCAGATGTGATGACATCTTCTACCTATTTATTTAATTTTTAGGAGATGGTCTCACTATGTTGCCTAGGTTTGACCTGAACTCTTGGCTCCAAGTGATCCTTCTGCCTCTGCCTCCTAAACAGTTGAGACTACAGGCACATGGCATCAGGCCTGGCTTCTTATAACTACTTAATGAACATGATTTGAAAAAGATTACTTACCTCATTAGATCTAAAACTTCTACCTTGCATTCCATGTTTCCAGAAAGCTAGCACACTGTCTTGTAGACAAACTAGCAGGCAAGAACAGCTCAATTACTGTTAATAGTACAAAAGTTCAACTGATAAGCATTTCATTCCTTTCTATTTTGCACAGCAATAGTTCAATCAAAGCTAGTGTCAGGTATTATATATTTATATGGCACCTTTACATTAAGAATTAAAAATATAATACACAGGTGCATTCATCTAATTGGTAAAAAGTTCCCTGAAAATATACTATAGAAATTAGTCTTGATAAATAATTTTTAAATAAAATATGATCATGCCCAGAAAAGAGAACAGCAGAGAAGCACGTCAACTCTCAGATCCAAATATTCTACCACATTTGCTTTTTGTTTCAGATAAAGACATACACAGCTGATCCCCTCGGACCCATCTCCTGATCTCTTTTTGGTCTGCCTTCCTCTCTGAGACAACCACTGCAATCAGTTTTCATTTATCACCTTCATGTGTGCTTAGATTTCCACACTGTAAATTTACAGGGCCAATATAAGCTTTATTTCGAAGTTCCCAAATGTCAGATAGTTGATATAATGAACACTTCTACTTTTCATTATTTACAAACAATATTACAATAATCATTCTCTTTTGTTTGTTTAGTTTGAGACAGGGTCTTACTATATAGACCCAGCTGGCCGGGATCTCGCAGAGATCCACCACCTCTGCCTCCCAATGCTGCGATTACAGGTGTGCTGCTACCACGCTCAGCTTATTGTTTACTGTTACTGCTGATGGAGAAAGAATGTAGGCACGAGGGAGGATGTGGAGCACACCTGTGATCCTGGCACTCGGGAGGCTAGGTGGGTGGATTGCCGTGAGTTCCAGGTCAGCCATGCCTACACAGTGAGACCCTGTATCAAAGAGTGTAGAGCATCAATTGTTTAAAATTTTGCTCCACTAACACAAATTTTTAAAATTATGCCACACACATATACATATAAATGAAAAAAATCAGTGAATTAGGAGAAAATGCAGTAAAAATTAAAAAATTAAAATACTGGACTGAAGCTGAGTGTGGTGTAACATGCCTATAATCCCAGTGCTCAGGAGCTGAGGCAGGAGATCACTTAGGAGCTAGAGGCCAGCCTGGGCGGCACAGTGAGACCCTGGCTCCAAGAAACAGATAAACAAAAAATACTGAGGCGAAGACACTGTGTGGACCTCTCCCTGAGCAGAGCATATGAACAGCAAGTATAGTCCTTTATTATTTTAATTACTTACATTTTGAGATGCTATGTTACTCAGGGTGGCTCTGGACTCAAGTGGTCCTTCTGCTTCAGCCTCCCAAGTAGCTGCGACTATAGGCATGCTCTGTCCTACCAGGCTTTAGCATCACCATCGTTACTCAATTTTGGTTTCTGTGTGGGTTTTGTATTGCCTTCCTCTTTTCCTTTCTTTCTTTTTTTTTTTTTTTGGTGACATGGTCTCATTGTGTAGCCCAGGCAGGTCTCAAACTCCCAGTCCTCCTGTCTCCACCTCCCTAGCACTGGGATTACTGGCGTGCATGGCCATGCCATGTCTGAGTGTATTTCAGAAGGCCTGGGCAGCTTCTCTCCTCCTTTTGGGAATGATTCAGCATCCAGTTATCTCTGAGAAGCAGTATTTACCAGACTCCCCTTCCAGAGGGAAGCCCTGGTCGCTGTCCCTCAGCCATCATCCTGCTGCCTGGACGAGCTCCAGGAAAAGCCTAATTCCCTGCTGGAAAACACAGCTCTTCTCTGCAATTCAGGCAGAGTTTAGAGCCTGAGTATGAAATGTCAAAGTACTTATAGGAAATTTATAGGATTCTGGGGGAACATGTGAATTGATAAACACATTGTAAGAAACAATATTTAACTCTATTATTATTAGCATTCTTTTGAAAATGATGTGTCTATAAGGAAGGAAATATCTGTACTGTATTTAACTAAACAGTTTTAGAGAATGTGTAAGAATGAAGGCTGACAGTGAACTCATTTACGTCTCATATTAAAAAGTCCTTAGTAACACATATTTATAATTTTAGTAGCTATCAGATAGATCATTTTAAACAGTTCATAATGTAAATGAGTACAAAACACGACTCACCTATTGATTCAATCTGGAAATCAAACGTGAGTTCTGATGATAATTTCCTGCTGGATTTCAATCTTCCTTGGAGATTGACTATTTTTATACAACCTAGAGAAAAACAAAAGGCTCTCAGAAACTAAGATGAGAGAAATCTTACTAAAACAAGACATTCATAAATAGAAACTTACAGTCCAAGCATACAAGGATGGTATCTCTCTCTAGTTGGCTTACATGAGTGACGTTTGTCTGTGGGGTATCTATAATACAAATAAAACTTGATAAAGTTACAGAAAACTAGAATAATTACAACATAGAGGCATTTAAAAAATTCCAAGTACTGTTGCACTTAAATGGATGGGCATCTTCTGCAAAACCTGTACTATAGTTAAGCTGGGCCACTTGCATTTGAATGCTGATGTAAATGGTCAAGACAGTAGATGTTAGCTCCTGTCCGTGCTACTGGTGATGATGTTATTTATATTTATGTTTGAAATTGGGGGGGGGTCTCATCTTATTAATTAGAGCTCTGGCTGATTTTTGATTTTTAAACTCATTTTATGCATTTGAGTGTTCTGCCTGCATGTATATAACTGTACCACTGTTGTGCAGTGCCAGTAGAGGCCAGAGGAGGGTGCTGGATCCCCTGGAACTGGAGTTACAGACAGTTGTCAGCTGCCATGTGGGTGCTGGGAACTGAACCTGGGTTCTCTGAAAGAGTAGTCAGTGCTCTTAATCACTGAGTCATCTCTTTAGCCCGAGAGGCATTCTTTTTATTAGAATGGTGTGTCAAAGTACTTATAAACTGAAATGTTTACATGACTTGGTTTTCATGAAGTAAAGAGAAGTATCTTGTATCCAGAGCTTTGTATGAATATTGAAACTGAACTGCCTTTATTCTTGGTCTTACTATACCCTGGGGATGGGGTGTGGTGTGTATGATTTGTGGTCTACCATGCTTGTTTGCTACTGCCCACTGTGCTGAGATAGACCATCTAAGGACTGTCATACTTTGAACCTGATGCTATTGTAAACAATCAGTGTCGAGCAATATGGTACAGGCCTCTTACAAGCCAGGTCAACAAGTTCAAATTAAGAATCTGAACCTACCTATGAAATTTACATTTGTAGACAGAAGGCAGCCTGTCTATCAACATCAGATAGAAAGCCAGGAAAATGAAGTTTTATTAACTGCTTTTAATAATTTGTTCCCAAATATCACAATCCTCTTTCAAAAATTTCTAAGAAATATTTTTAGGGTATGCATATGTCTGTGGGGTATTGTGTGTGTGGTATGTTGTCTGTGGTGTATGCATATGCAATTGTGCTTGCCCATGCCTGCTGCGTGTGTAGCAGTTAAGGCTGGGTGTTTTCCTCTGTTGCTCTCTACCTATCTTGTTTTGGGACAGGGTCTCTCACAGAACCTGGAGCTTCCTGTTTCAGCTAGACTGGCTAGCCACCGAGCCCTTGGGATCCTCCTGGATCCTTCTGATTCTGTCCCCACAGAGCTGGGATTACAGACGCTCACCATTGTACCCAGCTTTAATGTAGGTACTGAGGATCGAAACTCAGGTCCTCATGCCTTTATCCACTGAGTCCTCTCCTCAGCCCTGGAATCATCTTTAAAAAACATTAATCACTGGCTACTATGCCTAAGATTTCTTGATTTAAATGGAACATGTGAGACTTGGGGTATTAGAAGTTTAAACCCAAATCATTCCCTGTCTTCATCTCATGATCTCAAACTGAGAGATTACATTTTCCATTAATGTAATTCATTAAAGTAGGACCATGTGAAGCTTCTTGGAAAGAAGTGCTTTCAGAGTCAGTCTTCTGTCAGAAATGAGATCTTTTATTCAATAATTAAAGTGGACTTTTTTTTAAAAATAAAGTCAGGGTCTTCCTGTAGCCCCAGCTGGTCTCGATCTCACAGATCTGCCTGCCTCTGCCTCCTGAGTGTTGGGATTAAAGGCATGAGCCATCATGCCTGGCTGGATTTAAAATTAAAATGCTTGAGAGAACTATTACTGAAATTGAAGGTCAGAAAAGTACTTCTCACCCTGTAATCTCTTCCTGTTAAACAGAGGAGACTGGAAAGCAGGATGTACCAGCTGCCTCAAAGCGAAGAGAGGGAAGAAGGGAGACTGCTATGGAGACTTTGAGAGAAACAAAACAAAGCCTCACAGCACTGCCAAGAGCCAGCCACATCCTCCTTCAACAATGTGTGGTAATGAAGCCTGTTTCAAGGTCAATATGCTATTTAACACCTTGGGCATGGATTGTGAACATCTCAGCATTGCACTGTGACTGCATTAGACAGGGTCTCACCATGTACCCAGACTAACTTAGAACTTACAAGGGTGGCCTTGAACCTGTGGTAATCTTCCTGCTTCAGCTTCCTGAGTGCTAGGATTACAGGTGTGAATACCATGTCCTGTGCCTATTTTTCTTTTTAAGAATCTTCTAGACTTCCAACAAACTCCTGTCTGACCAAGATCCTAATGCAAACTGTGTTTTTAACATTTCCCTCATCAGCACAAATATGACAAAGGGCCTCCCAAGACCTTCTAAAGTGGCCATTGTTTACTGTATAGCAAAACACTCTATAGAGTTTTTCCTTTTTTGCTTGGGGGTGGGTTTTGCTGTTGTTTTTTGAGGGAGGGTCTCATGTAGCCCAGGCTGGCCTCGAACTCACTATGTAGCTGAGATTGTCCTTGAACTCCTGATCCTCCTGCCTCCACCTCCGAAGTGCTGGGATTACAGGTGTGTGCCACCACATTTGGCTCTACAGTATTTTTAAAGACAAAAAAGCAAAAGGGGCTTCACCACCAATAGGTTGTTTAAAAAAAAAGAAGATAAAAAGACATTTAAAGGTAATTTTTTAAAGTGTGAGAATTCAATCTGATTTATTTAGCATAAAACTTACATTTTAGTTCTATTATTTAGCTACAACAAAATGAGTTTCCAACTAGAATAGAATTTTTGTAAAAAGTTCATTATTTGGCAATAATATTTACTAAGGTAACTAAGGTAAGTAGCTATGAAGGGGTGTGGCATGCAATTTGGCAAACTAAATTTAATATTTGAGAAATTAAATTATAAAAGAGAACTATTTTCAACTATCCTCATGAATACTTCAGAAAAAGTTGCTTAATTATATTATGTATCTTAACTGCAAACCATTTAAAATTTTTATTAAAGACACTGAATATCACAAGTATATAAATTATAGGAAACAAATTATACTCAAGATGATTCTATGTGGTTTTTGTTTCTAAAGTATCATCTTTTCTATTAGCTCTTGAAGTATGGTCCCTGTTTCAAAATTACCAGCATCAACCTTGTGCCTACTGAATGAAGAACTCGGGCTGGGCCTAGGTATGTGTTCTAACAAGATTCCTGGTGTTTCCAATGTAAGCACATGTTTGGGAAGCACTGGCATGCCATGCATTAACTACCTCATGAGGACTTTTATTAACATTCCTACTAAAGTGAATGCCATTAAAGGGTTTTTTATTTTTTGAGACACGGTCTCCAGCAGCCCACTATGTAGACCAGGCTGATCTTGATCTCATAGAGATCCACCTTCCTCTGCCTCCTGAGTGCTGGAATTAAAGCATAAATATCATTAAAAAGGTAAAATCAACTGATGGTTTGGGGCAGGGCAACTGGAGTTAATACATAAAAATTTAAATCTGTGCTGTTTTAAAATTATCTTAAATACCTGAAAAAAACCCTCAAAGTTATGAAATGCCTACATTTTATTTTATTTATTTACTTTTTATCTTTATGAGAGAATGTCATGTTATGTAGCCCTGGAACATGCCTGTAGTTCCTGGCAGGCATGGAACTCAATCTTTCTGATTCATCTTCCCAAGTGCTGAGATTCTAGATGTGCGCCATGCCTGCCTCAGGTTGTTTTGAATGGCTCCTGTATTAAGATGCATTTCACAACAATTCTTTATTTCTATTAATAACAGCATCAAACAATAGGATACACACAAAACTCTCTAAAAATGTGGAAAGAAATGGAAAGTACTATAAAAATATTAAGAATATTTGCACATATATCAACTGATACTTGTTTTTTGAGGAAAGTACTTTAGTTGGTCACACTGATACAGCTACTTTCAAATAAAATGGTTATAAATATGTGTGGTTTTTACTTTTGAAGGGAGGAGGGCTACGGATTGAACCCTAGGCTTTGTGCATACTAAATATGTACTCTACTACTGAGCTACACTGGCAGTGGACAGATGTGATTAATGTTAATTGATACATATTGTGTCCTCTGAGATAAACTGCTATTTAAAATATGTGACTTTGTATAGTTCCTCAAAAGTCATAAAATCACTCTGGTATCTACTCATTTTATATTAAATGATGGAGTCCTACAATTTTTTTTAAACATATATTGTAATGGCTTAGATCTGAAATGTCATCCCTCACACCAGGCTTATGTTTTAAATTCCTTGGTTCTTCATTTATACTTTTATTATTTAGTGTGTGTGCATGTGTACCATTGTGTAGTATGGAAATCAGAGGACAACTTGCAGGAGTCAGTTCTCTCTTTGTATTATGTTGGTCTGGGGGCTAGAACTCAGGTTGTTAAGCTTGGTGGCAAATGCCTTTAAGTGCTGAGCCATCTTGCCTGCCCCTCATGTTTTTAAATTTTTGCTCTCCAGTTGGTGGCATTATTTTGGGAAGCTGTGGAAACCTTAGAAGGAGGGGCCTAATCAATGGAAATATATCACTGGGACTGGATTTTGAGGCTTATAAACTGGCCTCTACTTTAGGTCTTGCTCTCTGCTTCCTGTTCTGACAGGATGTGAACAGAGCCCATCATCACATGCTCTGCCTGCCCGAACTGCTGTGTTCCACTAGCCTTTGTACATACATATGCTTTGCCAACCAAATTGTTTAAATGCACCAAACACATTAAGTACACAGCAAGACATCTTTTTCCAGTTTACTACTATAGTTATTTGAGATTGGTTTTTCATGAAGTTTCTTCTGCTAAGAAATAAACAGTACATGTGTTAAACAAGGGTATGTACTGGTTTTACTGATTCCTTGATGATCACTAACCTGATTCTGTAAACCACGACGAGGTAGAATTTGGATTGACAGTCTCAAATCGAACCACCTGGTTGAAGTCTCGCCCTCTACTGACCCCAACACAGACCAAAGGGTACTCCTGCTCAGGGACCACCAACATCTCAAACATCCTAAGTGGACATGGTATGGGAAAGTCTATGTGCTAGGGAAAGAAACAAAAACATATTTAGCAAAGGTCAGCTCTTCTGAGAACAGTAGTAAGAGATTTTAGTCTCACAACTTCTACACTAAAGATTACTCCTAGGCACAGAAACTCAGTGAATACAGACAAGTGTGAATTATGAAGTATCATTATAAACTTTCAGTTAAAAAATCACGTAAGTTTTGGATATTTGTGCTAGAAGGAAACCTATCTACCCCTCCCTTCTAGTTAGAAAATGAGGTTCAGTGGCTGAGTGGCTGGCTCAGCGTCACCCACTCTGTGGCAGTGTCCTGTCTCCCAACTCATTCTCCCTTAATTATATACTTTTGTTTTCCTCAGCGGATGAGCAAACATGGAAAGACACGAAATACCAATCAGTACAGATATACCTCTTCTAAGTGTGGACAGAAAAGCCATAGGGAAAATTCGGCCTCATATCTCAAGATCATCAATAAATGAACTTGTTACAATTCTACTTTTTAATTTTATATAACTTTAAATTTATTTTTATATTACTACAAAGAAAATAAATACATTCAGAGTCTGGAGGTTAAGAGAAACTACTAACTTCATTAATAATCAAGGAATAAAACAATGAAATGTTCCCCATGTCTACCAGAATGGCTGAAATGAAAAAGAATGACAGGAAAAAGCATCAGGGAGGAGTAAGTGAATGCTTGCACACTGATGGTGGGGACAGACACACTGGTTAAGTACACCATCGATGTTGAAGATTATGCATTCCTTATGACTCAGCAATATTCTGAGGTACAGACCCTAAAGAACAAAGACATATGTTCACTGGAGACTATGCAAAAGTATTCATGGCAGCACTGTTTAGGACACAAAACTAGGGAAAAAAAAAATCCAACTGCCAGGGCTGGAGAGATGGCTCAGCAGTTAAGAGTTTTGGCTGCTCTCGCAGAGGACCTGGGTTTGGGTCCCAGCACTCACATAGTGGCTAACAACCACAACTCCAGTTCCAGGGGATTGATGACCTCTTCTGGCCTCTGTGGGCATTGCATGCACATGCTGTGTTTCTATACATACAGGCACACATTCATACATGTAAAAATAAAAAAATCCAACTGCCTGTCAACAGTAGAATGAATAAAATACAGCATACTCACAAAGCAGAAAATCAAGACATGAAAATGAACAAACTATAGCCAAACCAGAGAACTATGTAAATATAGCACTGTACAGAAGAAGCCAGACCCAAGTTCATAATGCTTTCCGATTCTGCTTTCATACTGATAAAATCAGCTCTGATGCTTCTGGTTCATCATTTTTTTCTCAGCGTGTAAGAAAGTCAACATAGTTTGAATCTTTTGTGCATTTAGCTTCCTATAATAACCAGGTCATGTGGATAAACCACTAAGAGAATGAGCTGCCACCTCGTGATTTTAGATCCAGATCTCTTGGTGAATGAGGGCAGTCCCCACAGATGACTCATGCCTTCCCTCTAACAAAGAGCATGGTGCCTAGTTTAGAGTAAGTACATAATGCTGCTGGAAGATCTTTAACTTCCAGCCCTGTTTTAGAAGAAAAATGGAGCCTAATGATGCAAAACACTGTTGGAAATGTCACCAAGAGGAAGGAAGAATGAATGCAGAAAGCACAAGAATGGTTTTGAATGTACCCAGTAAAGTCACAGTATGAAGTATGATGAACGTTAACTGAATACCATATACAGAAACAAAAGCTGTGTAGGTATCCTGAAGCAGAGAGACACAGAAAGGGAAGCTCAGATTAATGGAGGCAGATAAGGGCCTACAGCTCAAGAAATTTCAGGACAGGGACCATGAGAAAGTCCTAAGAAGAGTATGTGCTGTGACTCCACTGTTTCAGAATGCTGACAATAGGCCTCACTAGCCAGAGTCAGGTCAAGCTCTCTGATGCCATCCATTTATTTTCTCCTTTATGTTTTTGGTTTCTTTTTGTGAGGGGTGTGTGTGTGTGTGTGCACACGCATGCATGCAGGTGTGTGTGGAGGCTGGAGGTCCTGCTCAACCAGTCTCTGCCTTATTCTCTTGAGACAGGGTCTCTCACTGAAGCTGGAACTTGCTGTTTTTCAGCTAGGTTGACTGGCCAGCAAGTCCCAGTGATCCTCCCATCTCTCTTGACCTTCCCAGCTCATGGGGATACTGGTGCACACAGCCATAACTCAGGTCCCCACGCTTGTACAGCAAGCACCTTTACCCACTGAACCATTTCCCTGTGCATGCTCTGATCTCTGTATCTCTTTTAACAGAGAAATGGCCTTTTATAAAATGAAGAAGAAATGGCCCAACCTAATAGATAATGACACATAAAAGTCATTCATACCTAAGCTTAATCACACTCTCAGCACGTGGAATAACTAATACGATGAAACTGCATTTCTTTTCACAGAGGTTAGGAGTGAAAGGAGCAGGAAGGAGTTAATTAAGGTAGACTAAGAAAAAGAAGGAAGAAAGCAGGAAGGGACTGCAGACAGCCACACTGTGTAGGTTCCACCTCTCCACCCAGGAAAAGATATACTGTTGCCAAACAGGCAAGAATAAACAGGAGCTGAACAAAAGTATTTTGCCACAAATAACTATATGCTAGAGAAAATTTAGGGTAATTTTCCCTTCAGCTTTTGATTTAAAGAATTTTTATTTCAGTGAAATTTGTGAAATCATTACCTCAAATGATTTTAAAAACTTCTTTAGCACCAACCAGGCTTGATATTAGTATTAATGTGAAAGCCAAAATGAGACTTTAGTAGTTTGTAAGGTTTTAGGTAGCGTGTCTATAATCTAGACATACTAGTTCTACATAATGGAGTTCAGGAAGACTCCTACTCTAGTTCTCCTCTGACTTTAGTTTTCACAGAGCGATCAATGCTCATGATACATGACCACCTGATTTCATTTACAGTTGCAAATAAAACAACATTCAAATTTCTGGCATTTACTTAGAGCAACTGAGCTGTGTCTTCACATATTTTTAAAAGGTTTTTTGGTTTTGTTGAGGTAGGATCTCATGTGGCTCAGGCTGGCCTTGAACTCCTGATCCTCCTGCCTCCACCTCCCAAGTGCTAGGACTTGACAGGCATGCACCACCACATCTAGATAATCCTTAAAGATATTTTGAAGATTAATATTAGCCAAAGATTCTACAAATACTTAGGTAAAGATCCCCAAGTCCCCAAATATCCCTGGGAAGGCCTGGATCTGCTTCCAGCTCCCTGCAGCTATTCCCTGAACCACCTCTCTGGTCTCTTTTAAAACTTCCATGTAGATTTTAACAATCCTGTCACACAATCAAAAAAAAAAAAATCATTAAATAACCTGAAAATTAAATGGAAAAAAATTTCTTTTAAAGAATAGAGGAGTTGAGACCTAAGTATTCATAAGAATGCCACAGGTTATGCTTACCTTAATTAACATAAATTTTTGCATTGGTTCAACCCATTCTAACAGAACAATGCTAGTCTGAAGTGCCCCACATAGGTATTTATGGCCTGTGTAAGGATTTCTCACTGAAAAGGCAAAAGAGTAAACATGAGTTCTCTTATCATATAAAGTCCTTACAATAATAGTTACATGCCACAAAAAAGTAGAAATCAAAAAACCCAAACTCAGGCTGCCAGTCTGATAATTAGAACTATTATTTCAGGAAGTGAAATAATAGCAAGAAGTGTCCTCTACACTTAAAGGATGTTTGTTTATATGAACCCATGAGGCTGCCTGTGCTTGTCAGGTGTCATGTCTGGTACCAGGGAAGTTAGAAGAGGCTGCACCATCCTGAAGAGATGGTCAAAGTGAATCTTGGGAAAATTTTTGCAATGACAGGAAATGCACACTTAGGTGGTTGACAGGTACTTTTGACAGCAATGTACAGAGGTAATAATGCTTTGGTTCTAAGAACAAAATATTTGCTAATCTCTTCCCTTTTATTAAAATTCCATGGTTTCCCAGTCATGGTGGCTTACACCTTTAGTCCCAGCACTGGGGAGGCACAGACAGGGGGATCTCTGTGAGACTGAAGCTGGCCTGGTCTACATAGTGAGCTCCAGGTCAGCTGGGGCTACAGGAGATCCTGACTTAACCCTCCCCTGGACCCCAGGAAGATATAAAGTAAATATATGGAAATAAGGAGCTTAAAAAAAAATGGTAACAAGGACAACAGCACCAAAATCCATAAACTTCACAGTAAAATTCATAAACTTCATAGGTTTGAAATAGTTAAATGGCAGAAGCAGTGAAGAGCAAAATCTCCCAGCCAAAGCCAACAAAAATGTCTAGGTAAAATTAGGCACAAGAAAAACCTGGTCCCCTTTTCCTCATGTAGTGCCAAGTCAGTCTGGTCCCAGATGAGATGGAGCCACAAAGTCTGTGCAGCCCCCTGCCATCCTGCTCTGTCCCAGCCAGCTGTTCTGCTTTGCGATGAGCATTCTGCCCATCTCCTGGGTTTAAGCCCTTAGTCTCTGCCATCTTTCCTTCCTTCTTCCTGCTGCTACTGCCTAGCTCAGCTCGTTCTTGCTAGTGCATAGTGAATAGAGCTCCTGTCCACAGGAGGCCCCACATACTCTGTCTACTCACACTAACCCACCCATCTCTTCACCTGCATCCAGCAAAGCTGGAACAGTCAGCATTTAGCATGTGTTAACATTTTTTCTGCCTCATATTTATATTATTTTCTGTTTGAAATGCTCTTCTCAGCCATTCATGGTTAATTCTTTGGAGGCCTAGCCAAAATGTCACCTTTCTCATTTGGCCTGTGTTTACAACTCCTTCCACATACCTGGTGGCATAGTGACAGTGGACTTACTTCCCTGTTATAACAGCAGTAATTAAGGGAAATAAATCATTTTTTTGTTACATGTAAATGGAAATAACAAGTTGCTATTAGAGTGGGGAAGCAACCTAGTTTAGAGAAGTGTGTGTCCAGATGACTGTGACCTTCACATCACGAACATAAGGTCTTACAAACTAAGGGCACGAGAATACATGAGTGAACAAAAGCAGCCTCACAAGCCACTGCTAAGCAGAAGAATGCTATAAGAAAAAGTCCCCCCACTTCTCCATCTATTATAACAGTCAACAAAATATTTGCTAAACACCTGCTGTGTGCAAAGTGCTGGATTTGATTTAGTCTATATAAGGGAGGAAAAACCAAGACATCTGTTTTACTTAAAAGGGAAAACCAAACTATCCCTGGTAGAATGTAAGTCTCACTGTGTTGTCTTAGCTATTCTGCAAAACGAGAAAGCCATATGGTACTGGACAGTGTACTTACCAACACAACACTTCTGACACCACTTGGTGTCAGGGATTTTTGCTGATACAGCAAATTTCCTAAATGAGAAAAAAAAATGATACAGGCAGGTAAACCGTTTATGATGAAGGCGCTGTTACATATCAGTGGATAGAGGATGAGCTAAAAAAATTAGTGCAGATAAGTCATATATTAAAATAAAAATATAAGCCAGGTGTGGTGGCACATGCCTTTAATCCTAGCACTCGGGAGGCAGAGGCAGGTGGACCTCTGTGAGTTCAAGGCCAGCCTGGTCTACACAGTGAGTTCCAGGACAGCTGGGGCTACAGGGAGACCCTGTCTCAAAAAGACATAAAATAAAATGAAATAAAATAAAAACATAAAACAAAATAAAAAGACTATGGGGTTGGCAACATGGTTCAGTAAGTAAAGAAAGATGCATGCTATCAAGTCTGATAACCTGAGTTTGATTCTGGCAATCTACAGGGTAGAAGGAGAGAAGAAGCTGCTGAAAGTTCTCCTTTGATCTCCACACATGCACCATGGCACACACTCCTGTGTGTACACACACACAGTAAATAAGTAAATAAATAAATAAATGCAAGCAGGTGGCATTCAGTGTACTGAATCAGAAGTTCTTATTCATCAAAAGCACCACTGACAAAATTAAGAGATTCTAAGAATGGAGAAAAGAGATTTTCAACACATAAAATAAATTTAAGCAGTCTAAAAATTTATCTTACTACTATAACAATTTGATAAGACCGTCTCTTGCTTAGACATTTTAATTTCTCTACTCAGAACAGTAAGATTCAACTTTTGGCAAAGGTGCTAAAGGGTTCTATAAACATCTGATTCATATGTAATAGGCAAAATCAATTTTGAATTATTTATTAAACTATATATATTTTATTATTCTTTTATTTTATGTGTATGAGTGTATTGCTTGGGTGTATGTAAGTGTACCTGTGTCATACAATGCCCACAGAGGTCAGAAGAGGGCATCAGATCCCCCTGGAACTGGAGTTAAGATGGTGTTGGGAATCAAACTTGGGTCCTCTGCAAAAGCAGTCAGCAGTCTTAACTGCTGAGCCATCTCTCTAGTCCCATCTCTCTCTCTCTTTTTAAAGATTTATTTCATTTAAAAATTGTGTGTGTGTGTGTGTGTGTGTGTGTGTGTGTGTGTGTGTGTATGTTAGGCCAGGTGTGGTGCCATACACCTTTACTCCCAGCATTTGGGAGGCAGAGCTCTTTGGGATTGAGACCAGTCTATATGGTAAGTTCTGGGTCAGCTGGGACTACAGGGAAATCTTGTCTCAAAAAATAAGCAAACTGGGGCTGGAGAGATGGCTCAGTGGTTAAGAACACTGGTTGTTCTTACAGAACACCCGGGTTTGAATCCCAGCACCCACATGGCAGCTAACAACTGTCTGTAATTCCAGTTCCAGGGGATCTGAGAGCCTCTTCTGTCCACCGCAGACAGTGTACAACATGGGTGCACTTACCTACATGCAGGCAATACATGCACACATACACATAAAAATAATAAATATTAAAAAAATAAGCAAACAAAATTATGTGTGTATGTGTCTGTGTGAGTGTGTGTATGTGCACATAAGCACATACATGTGTACAGAGAGGCCAGAGAAAGGCATTAGATTCCCTAGAACTGGAGTTACAGATGGTTGTGAACTGCCCAACATAGCTGTTGGGAAACAAACTCAGGTCCTGTAAGAGCAATACATGCTCTTAGCACCCCTGCCCCTCAAAGACCGGCTCTCCAAAGACAGGCTTTCATGTAGCCCAAGCTGACCTCCAACTCACTATGTAGCTAAGGCTAGCCTTGAACTTCTGATTCTCCTGCCTCTATTCCTAAGCGCTGGGATTGTAGGCATGTGCTATAGTAACTGATACTTAGATAATGAAGATGAATAAAGTGTGAAGGAGGTATCTGTAGGTATTTCTAACACTATAGATCTACTGTAACAAAATCCCTAAAATAGGTTAGAGTTAAAATATCCTCTGAGGGGTAAAATCTTCCTATGTGGAAATTCCTTAAGGGAAGAGGCAGCATCTTAGTCAATATTGTCTCAACAGTACATGAAGACACTTCATGTATAGTCAGTAAAAACTGGAAGAACTAAACAGTTTCAAAAGCCTCTGAACCCAAGCTTAAAAAAGCTTCTAAAACACAGCCTGTATACAACATTTATGTAGTGAAAAATGTGCCATTCTTTATCTTTTAAACAAAAAAGCATCTTTGCATTAAAGTTCATGTGCTTTACGCTCCTTGGGAGTACTTTATGTGTATATCTTAGGTCTGTTTGAACACTGATAGCTGGTTTTCATGTCCACAAGAATTTTGGGTTATTAAGTTACCAAGGTAGATGGAAAGGCATTATAGGTGGACAGGTAAACAGTAGCAAAGTGTAGCTGAGAGACTACGGGCAGCATCTTTAATTACAAGTACAGATGTTACTATACAGTATAACTGAAGTCCATAATCACAACTCTGAGTAATCATGACAATACCCAATTGAATTCTACATAGTCTATTTTAAGACAGAAAAGCAAGTATTTTTAAATGACTTTCCTCAAAAGTTATTAAAACAAAAACTTTGTAGGAGCTGGAGAGATGGCTTAGCAGTTAAGAGTGTCTGTCTACCAACTCTTGGAGAAGACCCAAGTTTGGTTCCCAGAACCTATGTTGGATGGCTCATATGCAAAGACACACACAGATAAAAATAAATCTTAAACACATTTGTGCAGTCAGGCATGATGGTACATGCCTTTAGTGCCAGCACTTGGGAGGCAGAGGCATGCAGATCTCTGTGAGTTTAAGGCCAGCCTGGTCTACAGTGAGTTCTAGGCCAGCTGGGGCTACAGGGAGACTCTGTCTCAAAAAGACCAAAAAAAAAAAAAAAATCACAAAGAGGGCAAATCATAACTACACTGTAAACATGACAAATAAGGACAAGAGACCCTCAGGTACTTGAAGGCTAAAGGTTTACAGCATGTGTTTTTTTTTTTTTTTTTTTTTTTTAAGACAAGGTTTCCCTGTAGCTGCAGCTGGCCTGGATTCTTTAATGGAGACCAGGCAGGCCTTGAACTCACAGAGATCCGCTTGCCTCTGCCTCCTGAGTGCTGGGATTAAAGGTGTATGCCACCACACCTGGCTTACAGCATGTGTTAAAGTTGATTTAGAGGACCTTTTAGTCAACAAATGACACTAAATTATAAGAGGAAGAACGCAGCATAATTAAAAATGCCTTGAAGTACAAAAGCAAAACCCCTCAGCTTCTAAGTAATTATCTCCAAATGTAGAAACATTTATTCAATAAATCATTTTGGTTGTCTAGGCTTGGAAACTATACTTCGAAAAAACATTCATTTTATATAAGTTAACAGAAATATTAAAAGCAAAGGCAATATATAAAATGTGAAATTATATAAGAAATTGATTGTACTTTTTCAGAAAAACAAAAATTCAGAGAGAAAATGTTTATGTAGTTGGAAAGGGCAAATTAGAACAATAGTAGACAAGAATATGATATACGCCCTTGTTACATTACATATGACTGTTTAAGTGAAGAATTCATGATTTCTATCAAGCGAAACTGAGCACACCTTCACTTTCTCCAGCATAAGTATCTGTGCTAATGTTTGATCCTGAAGGATGAAAACACAACTAAACAATTACCTTGGCAGTATTCTATCAGGGAGCTTGTGTGCTGGAATAGCTACAGGTAACTTCTGCATTTGTCGTGCATAATCAAAAAGCCCTGGTAAATTATGGGAATAAAGCTGAGAAGCTTTACCTGTAAAGAAATGAACACAACGTAAGAGATAACAACAAGCAATGACAAACTATTGCTAGGCTGTATAAAAACTAAAAAGACTTACCAGATATTGATAGTAAGCAATTGTTCATTACATATAACCATGTACACCTTCGAGGGAATAGCTGATAAAAAAATATACAGAGTTTACAATGGGTAACATACAACAGCTATGTAAATATGTACATATTAACTATGTAGGCTGCCATGTAGATAGGCCAGTTCTTTGAACAGGATTTCATTTTACAAAATATTTAAAACACATACATATACATTTATGCCAAAGGAAACAAATTAGCAATATAATTTGAGTTTAAACATGGATGATAATAACTTAAGTCTCCCTAAGATGAGTGTATAACCCAAAGAGAATAAAAGCATTTTCAAACATCTATTCCTTTATTTTGGTCCTGGGGTTGAATGATTTAGTCTCTTCTGTGTACTCTCCCTGAAATGTACTTAGGTATATGCACATGCATGTAAAATGTAGAAAACCAGTGTCATGGAGTAGTAGAACACAAAGCATTGAAGCCTAGGTTTGGACAGGGAAAAAGCTGAGAGGAAACACGATGAAAACTTATAAACCACAAAGGAGGCGGGGGGAGGGTACTGAGGGAGAGAGAGAAATAGGAGAATTCACCATTGACATATAATAAAGAACAGCTCTGGATGCTTGAAATGTTTAGTATTCAGGGTAAAGAAAATGGGACTCAATATATATATTTTTTGTTTTTTTTTTTTGAGACAGGGTCTTCCTGTAGCCCCAACTGGCCTGGAACTCACTATGTAGACTAGGCTAGCCTTGAACTCACATAGATCTGCCTGCCTCTGCCTCCCAAGTGCTGGGATTAAAGGCGTGCACCACCACACCCAGCTGGGACTCAATATATTTTAAAGGAAGAAAGAAAACAACTGCTGTCTTGAAGACCTGTCATTAATGAACATCAGTTGTTTTCAGAGTGGTCCTCAGTTGCATCATCATCACCTGGGTATGTTCCAGAAATAGCAATTCATAGACCTCATCCACCCCTACAAGAAGCAGTTCTGAATGTGCCTAACACTTGTGTCTAACCAGACCTCCTGGAAACTGTGACAACATCTGATGTAAATAATTAGGTATCTGGATTTAACAAGCTTGTTTGCTAGCTTTCTCTGGCAATTCCTGCAGGTCGTTCCAAAATGGACTGGGATGAGGGTAGGGAATAGGGAGAATGGAGGGATGATGAAACCATCAAGGCTCTAAGGACATTACTGCATTAAAACACAGTAGTAACAATGCTTGTAGCAATTAAATGAGAAAATGTAGTAATAGATGAGAGAAACAAAGTAAAACTCTCATTAATACAATATAAATAAAGCAGAATGACTTGCATTTCACTTATTTGGCAAATATATTCACATAAACTATTTTTCCAACCATGTAAAATAGAGTATTGCCAAATATTACAAAAAAGTAACACGTACCTGTTGCTACATGTGCCTCAAACTGAGATTTTAACATATATTTCTACTTATGTTTTTCATAAAAATTTCATAACCAAACTAGGGATTCGCTGGTTACACAGGGAAAGGGGCAGTGACTTATTCTAGATCACATAGCAGTGACCCTACCTCAGCAGCAAGAAGCTGACTTTAATTCACTGTTGACCTGGGTTTATTCTTACACAGATACGTACTTAAAAGTTCCTTTTTAGTATCACATTTATGACTACAGTTGTAAATATAAGTGGGTTTGCTTTAATACAAGCATATAGAGATAAAGCACAAACCATTCCAATTATCAGTACATGGGTAATGAACTGTGCGTCTAGTTTTATTCAAGTGCTGGGTTTCACTTCAGATTTTGTTTTTAGCCACCTTTTAAAAACTCTAAAGCTTTTCTAGATCTCCAATGCTTATTTCCTTTAGTAAGTTAAGTTCTGGGTGAAACAATCAGTTTAGTGAAAGAACAGAACAGTTAAGAAGGCAGGTTCAATATTCTGTGCCTAGATTAATATCTTCTTGATGACAGTGTGATATCAGTTAACTTATTTAGTCTCTGTGCTCTTATCTGTAAAATGGAGCACCTACACCTCTCATTATGGTTTGAATCTGAAATGTGTGCCACAGGCTTATGTGTGCATGTTTATTTCTGTCTGTGGAACTAATTTTGGGAGGCTATGGGACCTTCAGAAAGCAAGGCTTGTCCGGTAGAAGGAGGACAATAGCAGCAGGCCTTTGCAGTTTATACTCTGCCTGGTTCCTGCCCTTCTCTGCTTCCTGGTCTGCTGTGATATGAACAGCTTCTGCCACCATGGACTGAGCTGTTCCTTTACACCTTCCCTTCTATGAGGGACTGAAACCTTTCAAACTGTGAGCCTGAGTAAACCCTTCCTCCCTCATCTGTGGCAAGCATTTTGGTCACAGTGACAAAAAGTTAACTGAAACAATCAGGATCCCATTTTGTGTCATTTTCTCACCTTTCAGCATCTTTTCTTATCTAGCAGACCCATGCCACCCAGTTTCTTTTCCCTAGAGCATGGAGAAACCCAATCTATGATCAGTTTTACAGTAAGAGAAACTTAGGATTTCACATGTACTCATTTTCTGCTCCTACAGGCTTCCTCTACAAGAGGGAAAAATGTCAAAATGTTTCATTTTGAAGGGTAATGCTTAGATTAAAAAAAATCCTAAAAATGTAATTTCAAACACTAAAGTGACTACGAGGAGCTGCTATTGCAGACGGGTTGGGTGAACTTGCTGTGTGCTTTTGCTTATGAGTCCCTTAAATGATTGATGTTCACACCACCTATGCATAAGGAGAGTATTGTTTCTTTAAAATTAATACTGATAGCAACAGTACTTTATATTTAAAAAAATCACCTTTACTTATTATTACAAATCTCAGGATCCTTTGCCTCTTTTCTCTTACACCAATCTCAGAATAAAAGATTTACAGTATGTCATATAATTTAAGCTCTTGTTAGAGAATCTGATTTAAAGAGGTTGAGGGGGGCTGGGCATGTAGCTCAGTGGCTGAGCCCTTGCCAGGGATGTGCAAGCCTTGGGGTTGACCCCCAGCACTACAATAAAGAAAAAAAAGGATAGGTCAAAAAGATAGAAATGTTTATTTGTCGGGACTGGAGAGATGGCTCAGCAGTTAAGAACACTGGTTGTTCCTTATGGCCTTAAACACCCAAAAGGAAAGTATAACCAAAGATTAAAGGGGCCAATATAATTTCTTAAGAGTCCATATGTATAGCTAAAGGCTACATAACAAGCAACAATGCCAGACAGGCGATACCTTCTTTTGAGTTGTTGGCCAAGGTGGCCAAAGGGACTCCCAGGTAGTAACCCAGCATAGAACTGGGAAAATGAACAGCAGACCCCAATCTTATCCAAAGGAATATTGACAACTGATTACTGCTAGATGAGGAACAGCTGACCCTCCTAAAACAAAGACCTCTAGATAGGCTGACTAGATTCACCAGAAGGACAAGTAGTGGGGAACGGCTGGGGGTGCCAACAACACAGCAGACAGTAGCAGGGATATCAGAGTATAAGGACTCTAGTGGGGGGAGGGAGGCTATGGGAGGGTGCTATCTGGGAAGTGGGTGTAATAAAAAAAGAACACTGGTTGTTCTTGCAGAAGACCCGGGTTCCAATCCCAGCACCCACATGACAGCTAACAACTGTCCGTAACTCCAGTCCCAGGGGATCCAACAGCCTCTTCTGACCTCCGAGGGCATTGCACGACACAGGTGCACTTACCTACATGCAGGCAATACACTCATAAAAATAATAAAATTTTTAAAAAATTAAAGAGAGAAATGTTTGTGAATAATTATTATTTACAGATTTGCTCTATTTTATTTGTAATCAATTTATATTAGTAACAAAGAATGAGTTACATATTCCACAGTGTAGCCAAACTGATTCATTCCCCTCAACCCAGCTTCTGTGAAAATAGCACTCTGTCTCCTGGCACTTATCATGAACCTGAGGCTGACGGGGACTTTTCCTGAACCTCCACATGGACCCTGTCGTTTGATCTGGCCAAGTCTAACTCTTCTACCTTTCTCTAGGCCTAGGATTTCTCTAGTGAAGTATACAACTGGGAGAGGCAATGTAGTGGAGGAGTTAAGGACATGGAGTCTGGAGCCAGCTTGTCTTGTTTGTATCCCAGGCCAGCCACTTACAGCTGTGGGATGTTGGACAAGTTATTTTCTTATCTGAGAAATGAGAATAATAATAGTGTTCTTCTCTCAGAGACTTAGGGGGAGATGAAATACTGTGTGTTAAGAGTTTTAAAGCTTTGCTTGGTGGTACAGGGGGTTAAATCCAAGAGCTTGTACATAGTAGGCAAGCACTCTAGTATGAAATCCTGGTGTGAGATATAACCATGGGTGCTGGGGTTATTGATTTAGGTATCTGTCTTTCAGGAACGTTATGAGTTTTCAAGGGTAGGGAATAGTCCTGTGGCTCTGTCTTCAGTACCTGGCAAATGGCATGTTCCATGAGGTGTTTTTTTTTTTTTTTGTCATTTTGAGACAGTCTCGCAGTAGACTCAGCTGACTGGAACTCACTATGTAGACCAGGCAGGACTTGAACTCACAGAAATCCACCTGCCTCTGCCTCCTGAGTGCTGGAATTAAAGGTGTGTGCCACCATACCTGGCTTCCATAAGGGTTTTATAAATAAAACAGGTGCCAATCATAAAACTGGAACTGGTATCCATTTAAATAACAACAAAAAGAATATACAAAATAACCTACCTGTTCCATTGATGTTTCATGAAGTTCATTAAGATTAAGGGTATAAATCCCCTCTTCGGCACCAAATATCAAGTACTGATCTGAAATAACAAAAACACTTCATTAACTGATTTCAATAGGTAAGGTACTTCTTTTTTTCTTTAATTTTTAAAAATTATTTATTTAATAAACACATATTTAGAAGAAGCATTTCATTGCAACAGCATTGACATATTCAATAACAATTTCTGAGCTAAGATGCATCTCTTTCAAATAAATTTTATGTGTTAAGACATAAAATTAAATGAGGTTCTAACCTTTAAAAAAGATCACCACTTCATTATTAAAATACAGTTTCATATAGAAAAATTCATTTTTAATGCAGTTGACATTAAGATGTTTGTACATGTGTTTCTATTCTCTATATATCTGATTAATACTAGGCATGGTAAGTTACTTTCTGAGCTCCTTGGCATCTGAGCTTGGATATAAACTCG